CACATCTGCACACACACATCTGCACACACACATCTGTACACACACATCTGCACACACACATCTGTACACACACATCTGTACACACACACATCTGTACACACACATCTGCACACACACATCTGTACACACACATCTGTACACACACATCTGCACGCACACACATCTGCACACACATCTGCACATACACATCTGCACACACACATCTGTACACACACACATCTGTACACACACATCTGCACACACACACACACACATCTCCACACACACATCTGTACACACACATCTGAACACACACATCTGCACACACACACACACATCTGCACACACACATCTGTACACACACATCTGCACAAACACACATCTGCACACACACATCTGTACACACACATCTGCACACACACATCTGCACACACACATCTGTACACACACATATGTACACACACATCTGTACACACACATCTGCACACACACATCTGCACACACACATCTGCACACACATCTGTCCACACACATCTGTACACACACATCTGCACACACACACATCTTCACACACACATCTGCACACACACATCTGTACACACACACATCTGTACACACACATCTGCACACACACATCTGTACACACACATCTGTACACACACATCTGCACACACACATCTGTACACACACATCTGTACACACACATCGGTACACACACATCTGCACACACACACATCTGCACACACACATCTGCACACACACATCTGCACACACACATCTGTCCACACACATCTGTCCACACACATCTGTACACACACATCTGCACACACACACACACATCTTCACACACACATCTGCACACACACATCTGCACACACACATCTGCACACACACATCTGTACACACACATCTGCACACACACATCTGTACACACACATCTGTACACACACATCTGTACACACACATCTGTACACACACATCTGTACACACACATCTGCACACACACATCTGTACACACACATCTGTACACACACATCTGCACGCACACACATCTGCACGCACACACATCTGCACACACATCTGCACATACACATCTGCACACACACATCTGTACACACACATCTGTACACACACATCTGCACACACACACATCTGCACACACACATCTGAACACACACATCTGAACACACACATCTGCACACACACACACATCTGCACACACACATCTGTACACACACATCTGCACAAACACACATCTGTACACACACATCTGTACACACACATCTGCACACACACATCTGTACACACACATATGTACACACACATCTGTACACACACATCTGCACACACACACACACACACATCTTCACACACACATCTGCACACACACATCTGTACACACACACATCTGTACACTCACATCTGCACACACACATCGGTTCACACACATCTGTACACACACATCTGCACACACACATTTGCACACACATCTGCACACACACATCTGCACACACACATCTGAACACACACATCTGAACACACACATCTGCACACGCACATCTGAACACGCACATCTGCACAGGCACATCTGCACACACACATCTGCACACACACATCTGCACACACACATCTGTACACACACATCTGTACACACATCTGTACACACACATCTGTACACACACATCTGCACACACACACATCTGCACACACACACATCTGCACACACACACATCTGTACACACACATCTGTACACACACATCTGCACACACACATCTGAACACACACATCTGAACACACACATCTTAACACACACATCTTAACACACACATCTGTACACACACATCTGTACACACACATCTGCACACACACATCTGTACACACACATCTGTACACACACACATCTGTACACACACATCTGCACACACACATCTGTACACACACATCTGTACACACACATCTGCACGCACACACATCTGCACACACATCTGCACATACACATCTGCACACACACATCTGTACACACACACATCTGTACACACACATCTGCACACACACACACACACATCTCCACACACACATCTGTACACACACATCTGAACACACACATCTGCACACACACACATCTGCACACACACATCTGTACACACACATCTGCACAAACACACATCTGCACACACACATCTGTACACACACATCTGTACACACACATCTGCACACACACATCTGTACACACACATATGTACACACACATCTGTACACACACATCTGCACACACACACACAAACATCTTCACACACACATCTGCACACACACATCTGTACACACACACACATATGTACACACACATCTGCACACACACATCGGTCCACACACATCTGTACACACACATCTGCACACACACATTTGCACACACACATCTGCACGCACACATCTGCATGCACACATCTGTACACACACATCTGTACACACACATCTGTACACACACATCGGTACACACACATCTGCACACACACACATCTGCACACACACATCTGCACACACACATCTGCACACACACATCTGTCCACACACATCTGTCCACACACATCTGTACACACACATCTGCACACACACACACACATCTTCACACACACATCTGCACACACACATCTGCACACACACATCTGCACACACACATCTGTACACACACATCTGCACACACACATCTGTACACACACATCTGTACACACACATCTGTACACACACATCTGTACACACACATCTGCACACACACATCTGTACACACACATCTGTACACACACATCTGCACGCACACACATCTGCACGCACACACATCTGCACACACATCTGCACATACACATCTGCACATACACATCTGCACATACACATCTGCACATACACATCTGCACACACACATCTGTACACACACATCTGCACACACACACATCTGCACACACACATCTGAACACACACATCTGAACACACACATCTGCACACACACACACATCTGCACACACACATCTGTACACACACATCTGCACAAACACACATCTGTACACACACATCTGTACACACACATCTGCACACACACATCTGCACACACACATATGTACACACACATCTGTACACACACATCTGCACACACACACACACACGCACATCTTCACACACACATCTGCACACACACATCTGTACACACACACATCTGTACACTCACATCTGCACACACACATCGGTTCACACACATCTGTACACACACATCTGCACACACACATTTGCACACACATCTGCACACACACATCTGCACACACACATCTGAACACACACATCTGAACACACACATCTGCACACGCACATCTGAACACGCACATCTGCACAGGCACATCTGCACACACACATCTGCACACACACATCTGCACACACACATCTGTACACACACATCTGTACACACACATCTGTACACACACATCTGCACACACACACATCTGCACACACACACATCTGCACACACACACATCTGTACACACACATCTGCACACACACATCTGAACACACACATCTGAACACACACATCTGAACACGCACATCTGTACACGCACATCTGCACACACACATCTGCACACACACATCTGCACACACACACATCTGCACACACACACATCTGCACACACACATCTGCACACACACATCTGCACACACACACATCTGCACACACACACATCTGCACACACACACATCTGTACACACACACACACACACATCTGTACACACATCTGTCCACATAAAGAAGAGTCTCGGCTAGTCGGCTATATTGCGTGTGAGGATGCTGGAGGTGGAGATTTATAGCCTTTTCTCACAGCACTTGATATAATTAAACTTATCAATTTGATGACGGATCCAGAAAGGTTCAAACGACGATCACCAGTGACAACAGATTCACCCGCTGTAACATGCAGAAGACTTCGTTCGGACTTCGGAGCGGCGACAGAGAGAACGAGACTGCAGCCGGACCCATGCGAAAACAAGGATAATATCTGAAGGACATTACATGTAGTCACGCAATGCTTGCTTACGCTGTTAACATTAACAATTTGAGAACAAAGTATAATTTGCACGGTTTTGCGTGATATGATAACTTATAAGCGATTGTTAGATTTAATCAGCGCGATTTACTGCAATGTCAGAACCAGAACAAAAGTGGATGTTTCTTACTAGTGCAGACATTTTCCGGTGAATATGATTATGTTGGTCATACTTCCAAAAAGAATAATCTGTGATTCTGAATGCCAGTATCGACACCGGCGGTGACTGACACACACACTCTCCTCAAACACTGTGTTCATCCGCGCTGTGCCGTGTCGAGGGTGTTGAAGTACAACTCACGTAAAGTGGATAATTCTGCTAATGACTGCAATTGCAGATTTCGAACAGAGATGGCGACAAAGAGGAAAAACGCTGGACTGCAGCTTTAAGATATTTGTGAAATTTCTATCAAAATATTTGAGAATGGAGAATTAAACTGATATGTTTCAAGAACCACAAATATTACTTAATTCAAATCAGTATTATTAATATATTTAACACACTCTTGAGAGATTGAGCAGATTTACTCAGTTAAAACAATGCCCCCCATTTACATTTACTCCGTTTATACAGTGTATTGTAATTTATTTCACTGCTTTAAAATTGAATCAATATTTTTGAGTGTAAAAATGTTTCACCAAAAAAAATTAGTAAATCATATAAAACTTTTTAGAGTGTAGATAGTAATTGTTTAATTCCCAGCATCTGATTCAATGTACTGATTGTGTACACGCAGAAATCTGCCTTTACAACAGAGAATAAAGAAGAGAGACGTCAAATAAATAGTTAAAGATGAAAGAGAAGAAACAGTGTCTTCCAGCGCACAGAACTAGTGTGACTGGGTTTTAAAACAGACTATTGGAAACTAAATGCTGCTGTAGCTCTTCAATAAGATGATCATCATAGATGTGAACTATTGTTATTTCTCTATCTTCAGTCTGAGTTATTGCAGTATTCCAGAGAAACAGAGTCTCATCCTGACTTCAGCTCTGAAATCAAACCCGTCACACCTGAGAGAGCTGAACCTGAGCTGGAATAATCTAGGAGACTCTGGAGTGAAAAACCTCAGTGATCTACTGATGAACCCACAATTCAAGCTGGAGAAACTACAGTTAGTGTCATTATACTGTACAGCAATTACAGTGTGACTGAAGTTTATTTATTTGAAGACAGCAGGGCTTATGTTTCATTGTTTATAGCAGTGCACTTTCTGGGTTTCCCTATTGCTCACATTTTTATGTGTTTTTTATGTAGATAGTAATTGTTTAATTCCCAGCATCTGATACAATGTACTGATTGTGTACATGCAGAAATCTGCCTTTACAACAGAGAATAAAGAAGAGAGACGTCAAATAAATAGTTAAAAATGAAAGAGAAGAAACAGTGTCTTCCAGCGCACAGAACTAGTGTGACTGGGTTTTAAAACAGACTATTGGAAACTAAATGCTGTATTATATTTCTACAAATATTTTCACCTTAGTATTTTGTGATCTGGTGAAATAAAGATGAAGATCTCTCTTCCTCTGTCTGTTTTATTTGCTGATGAAGATGATGTGACTTTACAGAATAAAGAGTCTCTTATTTTCTTTCATTCTCTCTCTCTCTCTCTCTCTCTCTCTCTCTCTCTCTCTCTCTCTCTCTCTCTCTCTCTCTCTCTCTCTCTCTGCTAATGTAGGTTAAGCTGCTGTGATATGACAGATGAAGGTTGTTCTGATGTGACTTCAGCTCTGAAATCAAACCCGTCACACCTGAGAGAGCTTGACCTGAGCGAGAATAAACTAGGAGACTCTGGCGTGAAAAACCTCAGTGATCTACTGATGAACCCACAATTCAAGCTGGAGAAACTACAGTTAGTGTCATTATACTGTACAGCAATTACAGTGTGACTGAAGTTTATTTATTTGAAGACAGCAGGGCTTATGTTTCATTGTTTATAGCAGTGCACTTTCTGGGTTTCCCTATTGCTCACATTTTAATGTTTTTTTTTCAGTGCTGTCAATCGATTAAAAAAATTAACTCGATTAATCACAATTAAAAGCAAAGCTTTTATAGGTTTATATTTAGTTTATATATTTTATAATGTAATCATTTCACAGTTAATCTCCAAATGAATGTAGAGACAACATCATGACAGTATATTTTAAATACTTGTTTAATGGCATCTTTTTATGAATGAAGGTCAGTATCACTGATAAGTCAAAAAATACAAAAATGGTGTGCACATCCCAAACACCCAAACTGGGCTCAGGTGCAGGACAACTAAGTGCCTGATGAAGACCTGAGGGTCGAAACGTTGCCTTTTAATAAATACTTTGGAGCAGTAATTTTTAGTGTCCGGACTTCACACTTCTTTATTTGTCAGTATCACTGATACTAATACAGCTCTATGTCATGAAATTATAATACAGCTAATACAGCTCTATGTCATGACATTATAATACAGCTAATACAGCTCTATGTCATGAAATTATAATACAGCTAATACAGCTCTATGTCTCCATGAAAATGACCCCCCCCCCCCCCATTTTAAACAATTAATTATAGCCATTCAACATTACAGTGTAATTGAAAGCTACCAAATTTTTTTTACATTTATTAGGCTTCAAAAATATAACTTAAAATTTAAGTGAACTTTAAACAATCCTCACATAAACCTTAATTAATGTCATATTTACCTGTGCCCTTCCTACCTGTGTAACATATACAGAACAATATACAGAAATTGAACAAAGTTATCAAACAGTCTGCAATGCATACATTATAGATTAAATATAGACTAATCCTTATCAAAGCTACAAAAGTTCTTTACTCAAGAGCAGTGAGTAATGTTCTCTGTTACCTTTGTTCTTTGATTAACTTTACTGACAGACATGATTATTGGATACTGTCACTTTAAGAACAGCCGCTGCTGATAGAGACGCGGATCTCACACGCGTCTCATTCTCTCACAACTCTTTACGTTCATTTAAAGGTGCTATATGTAACTTTTCTACTAAAATGAATCCTTTTTTATTGCCTGTGTGTGAAGGGGTTGTAATCACACATTACAATGATCCACTTGTCGAGTTTTGCTATTACCTCCGAAGGCCAGTTTTCCTATTTCTATGTGAAGGCTCCGGGTCGGATTTACCGCGAAATCCATCGGATGTGACGTGCATGCGCGCTCCCGAACGGCGATCCAGTAGGGGGCGTCCCCGAGGCCCGCCACTCTAGCGTTCGGGCAAGGGTCCCCTCTGGGACCTCCTCCCCCGAATTTGAGCTCTCTGGGTCTTTGCGTTCCAGAGATACGAGTGATTTACTTCTGAGATCGTGACGTCACCGGCGTCCGCAATTTTGCAGCGCGCCCGATGGTTTTCTGCTAATGTCTCTTATATGGTTATTTTCAGCTCGACTAGATGGTTCCAACGAGCTCGGTGCTCGCCGAATCCGTCAAGTATTCGCCGAGATATTTGCGTAATAGACGGTATTGTCTATGAGTTTGAGCACGAGCGCTCTTGTAAAAATTGGTTGCAATCTGAAACATCACCACTAGAGGCCGCTAAAAGTTCCATAGAGCACCTTTAAGACTTTATTTAACTCATTTCAGACTGTTCTTATGTTATGAGGATACTCGACAAAACGGACATTTGGCATAATTGTGTGTTATTGTTTATTCAAGCGCGAAAGAGAACTATATTCTGGAGCGCTGTCTGTACGCACGATACTGGCACGCGTCTTTCTGTGCACCGTGTGTGTGTGTGTGTCACATAGACAGGTCATTCACAGTCAGGTCATTAAACTTGATTGGTTTAAAAGCATTTGTAAGAATAAGAGCGGCATCATATAATGTAAAGCTAGCCAAAGGATGGAAAAAATTAATGGATGCTGCGTTAAATATTTTAACGTTAAACTGGACAAAAATTAATCGCATGCGTTAACGTTGACAGCCCTAATTTTTGTATCTAGATAGTAGAGTGTAGATTGTAATTGTTTAATTCCCAACATCTGATACAATGTACTGATTGTGTACACACAGAAATCTGCCTTTACAACAGAGAATAAAGAAGAGAGACGTCAAATAAATAGTTAAAAATGAAAGAGAAGAAACAGTGTCTTCCAGCGCACAGAACTAGTGTAACTGGGTTTTAAAACAGACTATTGGAAACTAAATGCTGCTGTAGCTCTTCAATAAGATGATCATCATAGATGTGAACTATTGTTATTTCTCTGTCTTCAGTCTGAGTGAATGCAGTATTGCAGAGAAACAGAGTCTCATCCTGACTTCAGCTCTGAAATCAAACCCGTCACACCTGAGAGAGCTTAACCTGAGCGGGAATAAACTAGGAAACACAGGAGTGAAGCACTTATGTGCCGTACTGAAGGATTCACACTGTAAACTGGAGAGATTGAGGTCAGTCACATTCACATACAAGAATCAAAATGCTTAAAATCACTTCAACTGTTTAAACTAGAACACATTAACATTATATTTGTACAAACATTTTCACCTTAGTATTTTGTGATCTGGTGAAATAAAGATGAAGATCTCTCTTCCTCTGTCTGTTTTATTTGCTGATGAAGATGATGTGACTTTACAGAATAAAGAGTCTCTTATTTTCTTCTCTCTCTCTCTCTCTCTCTCTCTCTCTCTCTCTCTCTCTCTCTCTCTCTCTCTCTCTCTCTCTCTCTCTCTCTCTCTCTCTCTCTCTCTCTGCTAATGTAGGTTAAGCTGGTGTGATATGACAGATGAAGGTTGTTCTGATGTGACTTCAGCTCTGAAATCAAACCCGTCACACCTGAGAGAGCTGGACCTGAGCAGGAATAAACTAGGAGACTCTGGAGTGAAAAACCTCAGTGATCTACTGATGAACCCACAATTCAAGCTGGAGAAACTACAGTTAGTGTCATTATACTGTACAGCAATTACAGTGTGACTGAAGTTTAATTATTTGAAGACAGCAGGGCTTATGTTTCATTGGTGCACTTTCTGGGTTTCCCTATTGCTCACATTTTTATGTGTTTTTTTTTCAGTGCTGTCAATCAATTAAAAAAATTAACTTGATTAATCACAATTAAAAACACAGCTTTTATAGGTTTATATTTAGTTTATATATTTCACTTTCTGGGTTTTATAAACTAAAACACTTTATACTCAATATATGACAGTGAGTCTGAGTTCACATTATATCTGTGTAAAATTCTTCACATTCATGATTTGTTTGTAAGATAATCTCTCTTCCTCTGTTTGTGTCTCTCTAGTCTACAGTACTGTGGCATTACAGATGTTTCTTCTTTAACTCAGTCTTTGACAAACTCAAAAGCACTGCAGTTTTTAAAAGAGCTTGATCTGAGACTCAATAAGATAGGAGACTCAAAGCAGCGGCTCAGAGACGAGCTACGAGACTCAAACTGTGTCCTGAGGTGAGGAAACATCACTGAGATATTAAAGAGATCTTCATTTACCTCTGATATGTGAACAATCCTTTCAAACATTCGTGAAAGGAAATTATCATTAAGATTTATTGCAACAAAGGGTTTGTGTGAGATCAAAATGTGAAGTAATTGAAATGTTGAACACAAAGGAGGAAAGAGAAGAAAAGCTCACTGTCACAGCTTTATACATCAACACCTGCTTTATGAACTGTGTCAGTAGAAGTGAATCATTTCAGTGTGAAAACAGACTTGGTCAGATTGTAGGAAACGCTGCACTCCTGCTAAAATCAGTGCAGTTCCAGCTTCAGCTCACAGCGTCCAGCTCACATGAGCAATGTCTCTGTCTCTAGTGTGTTTTTACTGTGACAAGCAACACGTCACACTACTCTACACTTACTTTACTCTCAGTTATTTACTAAAAGCCTACAAACATGTTTAAACTAGAGAACAAACGGCTTTAACTAAAGGTTTGTGTTTAACTCAAAATAACATTAGTATTTGCTCCCTGTGGTTTATTCCATACACCGTACACTCATTAGTTTCTCCTTTACAGAGACTCAATAGGAGTCGCACCGACACACACACACACACACACATATGAACATGATTCAGGCTTTACATCTATTATATTTAAAAACACAAATATCTATGAAAGATCATGTAAAGTCGGTTATTCATCTGATTACAGGAATTCAATTTAACTTATTTTTACTCAAAAAACAGTAATTTAAATATTATAATTTGTTCTTTGTTCCACTGAACACTGATTGTTTTCTCTTCTGTTCCACTTTACAGAGTAGATGAAGATCGATCACCAAACATCTCTGATAAAGATCGATCACCAAACACTGATGGATGCATTATATCATAGTTTGAAATCATCATGAGAGGAGCAGAAACCATCAGGAGATCCACAGAAGAGTCTCACTGATGTCTATGAGGAGAAATACATGTGTAAATGTGTTTCATACAGGTGGAAGAGACTCAGGCTTCACTATTAAATAAAGCAGCGTGCGTGTTAGCATGCGTATTAGCAACATGGGATATTGAATGATTAATGTTAGTTTATTATTCAGCCAAATGATGGTTTAGTTGTAATTAAAGGTGGAACAGAGGAAGAAGCTCAGATGAGTGTCCGCAGAAATCTTCACTATCAGGCCTGCAAATATAATAATGTTTAGACTAAACTCATCCATAATTATTCAAATATTTCTAATCATGAACATGATTGTCAAGTATTGCACATAAATGTTTCAAAAGTTAAAGTTTACATGTAACTTTTAAACATTTACATTATCTCTCTAACATTTTATACACAGAATATGTTTATTGTTATTGTTTTATTGTATATGAAGTTAGTTGTGTGTGTGTGTGTGTGTGTGTGTGTGTGTGTGTGTGTGTGTGTGTGTGTGTGTGTGTGTGTGTGTGTGTGTGTGT